AAAAACTGAGGTGGAGGATGAAGAGACAGTTCAACTTACGAAAGAGAAATTGTTAGAAAAGTTGATGTCCTTTCTTCGTCGCGAGGTAGAAGGGGAAGAGCATCGGGCGTTAGCCGAAATGGCTTTTGGACAGCCTTCAAAAAGTAAAAGGGAATCTTCTAGCAAAGAAGAACCAACAGCAATGACTTTAACATCTTCCTTTGAAAAGTCCAGTAAGATTGAGTGCATATTTTGTCAGAAAAGACATGCCAGTCAAGACTGTCATAAGGCTGCCTCAATGAAGCCAGAAGAAAGAAAATCAATTGTTCTACGTAAACGCTGTTGCTTGGTATGCTTGAAGATTGGACACTTGGCGAAAAATTGTCGCAGTAGCGTTCACTGTCTGGTGTGTGGAAGGCGACACTACGTAATTTTGTGTCCGGAACTGCCTAAAGAAAATAAGGTTCAAATTTCCGATGAATCAAGAGTGGAAATGAATACGTCTACGTTATTTACGGAACTTATGCCTCAAAGGGTAATATACTTGAAAACATTGTTGCTACGTTTAAGAAATGGAAATCAAGAACGTTACGTTAGAGCATTACTGGATGACGGATCACAGCGATCATACTTAACCAAAAATTTAGTTAAAGAGTTACGATTAAATCCTTCAGAAACAGAGTTATTGTCCCAAGGATTATTTGGAGGTACGCAAACTTCCGAAGTCAGACATGGTCGCTACGCCATCACTGTTGAGAGCATCAATAGAACTTTTTCATACAACATATTAGTTTTGGATCNAAATGTAAAATATAGGCCTATTTTAATTTTTTTTAATATAAAAATAGGAAATCAATAGTAGTATATGGAAAGGGCTAAGTGTCCTCTAGCCCCCCCCCATATACTACTAATATTGACAGGAAGAATATTGACAGGAAGAATAGAATTTTTGCCGTCGGGAGTCACAGCCATAGAGACGAAGCTCGGATGGAGCGTTTTAGGCCAAGGAAAGAAAAGCACTATAAATATGGTATCCTTAAGTATGCATCTTTCTGAAGTACACAAGCTATGGGACTTAGAGTCCTTGGGAATCACAGATCCCACTGAAAGAAAAACAACTAAGGAGCTAGACGAAGAAACCGTAACCTTTTTCAAAGAGACAATTCAAAAATCTGGTGACAGGTATGAAGTAGCACTTCCATGTCTAACAGGACATCCTCCCCTGTATGAGGGATATGACCAGGCTGAAGCAAGACTACGTACGGTCACTAAGCGTCTTTTGAAAGACAACAACTATGAACTGTATAAAAATGTTTTGCAGCAATGGAAGGATGACAACATCATAGAGGAAGTGACGGGAAGCGAAATATCAAATTCTAGAGCTTGTTATTACCTACCACATCATCCTGTTATAAAATTGTCAAGCTCTACTACTAAGATCAGACCGGTCTTTGACGCATCATACAAACGTCCGGGGTATGCCTCTTTGAATGAATGTCTAAGCACAGGACCTAGCCTATTACATCAAAT